CGACAACAGCAAGGAGGGAACCCGCTTCGATCTCCAGTTCGGCCGCCGCGTCATGGCCAAGCTCCTCGGCCTCGAGGCCCGGCTCTCGTGGCGCGACGTCGCCCAGCCCGTCCCGGACGAGGTCAAGGACGTCCAGGCCTTCAAGGACGCCTTCAAGCCTTGGGACTTTAGTCTCGAAGAATAATAAAAAAGAGACAAAAGACCGTTACATTGTTGTTTTTTCTGCATCGTCGTTATCGGACCTCATGGGAATCGGAGCAACCCGGCGTTCTAACGTGGGACAGACACACAAAGAAAAGAGAGAGGGAGGGAAAAGGGAAAAAAGGGAAGAAGACAACAGAAAAAGCAAAAAGTTGAGATACCCCAAAACCCGCTTTTCATCGGCGACTTTCTATCTATGCATTATCCGGCGTTGAATTAGGTTATGTGCTTTTACCTCACAATTTTCCTCACCATCTATCTATCTTTAGAAAGAAAGGGATCGATCGCCACCTGAGATGGCATGTACATACATACTTAACCTTACACACTTATTCTCAGTCACCATCTTACTAACCTTAACCTAACCTACATCTTCAATTTCTTACCTGAGGATATTATGTATGTCATATCTATCGTATCGCGGAAATACAAGGGTTCTTTCTTTCTGCATACATAGGTACTTTGTGTATAGCCAAATTTAAATCCGCCAAGAGGAAAGGAAAGTACATGCATGACTGTTAGTTATACTTCCAAGTGTGTATGTACCCTGCCCATCAATCAATTGTTCGTCTTCACTAACATTTAGGTAAGGTCGTTCAGTAAGCCATGTCAATAGGTACCGACTGAACTCCTTGAAATGTCCTCACACACGCGGGCTCCATCCAAGTAAGTATATGTCTATCAACAAGGACGCTTCTTTTGCCATCACGAATCTATAATTAGTTAGTACCAATCTGTAAACTCAGATCTTCTTCCTCTTCTTTCTTTAATATAGATACTTCAGGTAAAGGGGTATTCGATATGCCATCCACTAAAACCTCACAACTCTCCTCTCCTCTCTTCTCATATACATCAATCATACACATACATAGCCGCCTAACCTATAACACACACTTCGAACTATGTAGATTAGGTTACTAAGCACCATTCACACACATCCACACCCATCTCCAAGTTTTTCTCCACCCTTCTCAGCCTACTCCGCTGTCGCAACAGCAGCAGGAGTAGAAGAAGCAGCAACAGCAGCATTATTCGCATGCCCCATCGCCCAATTCACCCACTCGTTAAAGAAGACCGCCTGGATCCTCGCCTTGCCCTTCTGGCAGTCCGCCAGCGCGGCCGCATACAGCGCATTCACGCGGTCCACATTCTCCTCCACATTCTCCTCCGCAGCCACCAGGCGCGACGCGACGAGGAGCGCCGCCGTCGACGCCGCCCTGGCAAACGCGTGCGCCATATCCCTCTTCGCCTCGTCGCGTATCTTCTCCAGCAGCTTGAACAGCGCCTCGCTATCGACCTTTTCCGTCTCCCCGGATCGCGTCTTCTTTCTCGACGCCTTGGCCAAGTCCGTCAGCATGTTCGTCACCTTGTTCGCGAGCGGCTTGGCCGTCGTCGTCCGTATGAGCTCCAGGAGCGGGATGAGCAGGTCCAACGCCAGCGCGTTCGACGCCTCTTGCTTGACGTAGATGTGCAGGAGGTCCAGCACGCGGTGCTTGAACAGGATGACCGACTCCTTCGCGTCCTTCTTCTCGTTCTTCTTATTCGACTGCTTGACCCGCTGCTTGAACACGTCCACCAGCTTCTCGTCCAGCGCCATCATCTCCGAATCCGTCATATCTGAATCGTCGTCGGACGATTCGGCCTCGACATCCTTGTCGAGCCGGTGGCTGTTGAGCACCTTGGCCAGGGCATCGTCGAGCGCGGCGAGTTCCGCGTCTTCTTTCTCTCCCTCTGCATCGCTCTTCTCGTCCTCGTCTTCATCCTCGTCCAAGTCCGCGTCCGACGTAGCATCTGCGGCGTCGAGTTTCGTGAATTCAACGTCAGAGCCTATCTCCGACATATCGTCCTCGCCTCCATCCTCGCCGTCGCTACCAATTTCGGAATCTGTGGCGTCGGCCATCTCTTCATCTTCGTCGTTATTCTCAAACAGGGCTTGATATCCTCTCGCGTTTTCCTCTGTCACCAAGGGCTCCGTGAGAAGCTGAAGAGCCTCCGCCGAGACTTGCGGCGCAAACACTTCGAAGACCTGTTCGCTGATTTGCCTCAGCATGGGGGATTTTCGAGATACCAGGGCAAGGAGAATCTCGACCAGCAACTCGGATACGCCGCCCTCCTTGCTCTTCATCTTTTCTGAACATGTCTGGAGGTCTTGTAGAATAGCCAGCGCATCTGGTACACCGTCGTAAAGTTGTAGGATAGTTGTAGCGTAGAGGAGAGCCAAGCCCAATGATATGCTGCCGGCAGAAGTATCGTACGATTTGGTGGACGACTTCAGCAGCTTTGTCATGGCTTTCAGGGCATTCTTGCGTTCACCCTCTATCTCGTCATTCATCGCAACGGCTGTAGGCTTCACCGATTTGACCGCCTCACAGAGATATTCCGTATTTTTATGTTGCTTGGTCACTTTCGAGAAGGCCGAAGCAAGACGGCTGCGGAACACCTCTCTAGTCTTCTCTGATAGCGGTGGCGCAAACTCCCCTTGTGAAGAATAGGCGCATGACGCCAACTCCTTGACACCTATCTCGAGCGCGCTTTGACTATCTGCGTCATCGGGGCCGTCGGATGATGGCTTCGCATGGGTAGTCATTTTAAAGACATAGTCAGCGTAGGCTTGACGAAGCTTTTCGGCCTCGTCCGGTGTGCTGGAGAAGTCAGCAACAATGTAAGTCGAGGTTGAATAGCGAAAAACGTACTCTTTAAGGTTCAAAACAGGCTCACGAAGGAGTTTGAGGACCTTCTTGGAATTACTAGGCGTAACCCATTGCAGTAGATTCTCGATTGTCTTCGAGGTAGTGCGCTGGTCGAAGTCGTAGAGTCCGAATTTGCCCGTAAGTTCCTTCAGAACCGGTATTAATAGTTCCGGGTGTGTTTCAACCGTCTTCTCCACGATGCTCAGGGTCTTGAAAGCCGCCCGGTGAAGATAGCGGTCCTCTTTGGCCGCTTGGTTTATCAAGCACTTCATCAAGTTACGCGAAAAGAGCTCCTTGGCCAGTGATTGATCCACTGAAGCGACCGCTTGGATATACTTTTGGAAGATCATGAAACCGCGGAACTTCTGCCCGTCTGATGCGTTTTTGGAGAACAGCCCATCTGTCCGACTTCAGTCAGTAACTCGTCATGAACTGTGACAGCGTTTCGAAGTCCAGAATTCTTACCGTCGATTATAGTGGTCCAGAAGAGCTTAAACCGGTCTTTGGCCTGGGATCTGTCCTTTTCATCGGATTTCAACAGTGTCTCCAGAATCAGATCCCAGACAAAATGCAGCTGGGCCGTCCAGTTACTCTGCTTCAGCTTTGCCATGGCCGCATCGCCGCCGTTATCGTTCGCAACATTCTCCCTCAGCACCCGGGCAACCTCTGGAAGGGCGCCCGGGCTGAGCGGGTCGACCCAGGGCTTTGGCGGGAATTTCATGTCCGGGTACGAGCTTCGAGCACGGAGCCAGATGCCCACACCTTCGGCCGTCTTGCCCAACCCTATCTCGGCCAATTTTCGCACCGCTGCTTCGGCGCCTTCCTGGCCCATCTGAGGCAGGCATTCGACAATGACCCAGCCGCAGTGCGACCGCAGCCATACCTTCTTGTCGGCCATCTCGAGTAGCAAGTCCAGTACCTTGGGCCATCTGCCTTCTTCCTCGAACAGTATTCTAGCTTCGACGAAGGATTGCAGGCCAAACAACCGACCAAAGAAGTAGTCTCTCTCTTCTTGGCCGGGTACATTTCCACCAGTCGTCGTTGCTTCCACCAGCGCATCCAGCAGGCTTTCGAAAGTCAGGCCCGGGTATTTCGTTTTCGCTAACTGGGAGGGACCGAACAACTGTCGCAGTAATTCGGTCACGACGAGACTGAATCCTAGACGGGAGGCATTGCGGGAGCTCGCGAGGCCACGGAACAGCCGCTTTTCGAGATGTCTCTTCAGAGCCGCTTCGGAGCCAGCTACTAAGCTCGTGATCAAGGCGTCGGCGGCAGACAGGCGCTCGTCGCCGTCGAGGCTTCCGAGCAACTCGTATATATGTGCTTCGCGCTTGCGGTTCTCGCCTTTGTTCTCGTCGGGAAAAGGCGATTTGTCGAGGCTGAGGGCTTTCGACTCGGTTACGTTGGAAACGGATTCGTCCGTCTTGGGGCGTTTCTGGGTCGGCTGCCCGTTCTGGGCGCCGGTCTTGTTGCCACTGCGCTTGCGTTTCCCTCCCATAATGTTGTCCTATACTTTCGTTGCGAAGATCAAGAAGAAAACTCGGAGGAAATGATAAGTCAATTGATTACTGTAAACCACTTCTAGCAACACTCAGACAGAATGATCCGTTACTTCTTGACCAGGGTAGAGGGGCACTTTTTTTCATTTGACCGGCAATAAGGTTGAGCTCGACTTACCGCCTTGGTTTTCCAAACAAGTCCCGAAGGCGGTGAACAGATTTATTCAATTACCCGCCAATCTGTTTAGCAGATATCCCATGATTACAATTACAGGGATTTGCTTATCCAGAATAGCATCAGCAACCCATATGGCATCTGTTGTTCTCTGCTGTTTGAAGCTGCCTGTGGATGTTATTTCACGTAATGTACGCCCGACAGCAGTATAGCATTACTCCTTTGCTTCCTTTAGCAGCAAAGTTGATTGCCTGTAATCCTCTCCCTTTTGTAATATCTCTGCGCAATCATGTCTTACGCCTTGCAGCTAACTAAGGTTAAGTAAGGTTCAAGAACGCAAGAAGCAAAACTGGAGAGAGCCCAGTGGTTGGGTCAAAAGTCATACACAACCGTACGTACGTACAACAGGAAAGAAAACGAAAAAAAACACAATGATGTTAGCTGTGCGATTCGAACGCACGAGACTTTCGTCAGTAGAGCTTAAGTCTACCGCCTTAACCAACTCGGCCAAGCTAACATGTATGTAGGTAGGTGAATGATGTAATGCGTCCCATGTCTACTCCAGCTGATAAACCCAAAAGCCTTATGCACCCAGAGTTAAAACAACAAACACTACATCACCTCATAACCGGGCTCCTCCGGGATTCGAACCCGGGGCCTCTCGCAAAGTAGCTAAGACAGGGAAAGCTGGTTTTCTTCCTTGTCAGAGACCCAAAGCGAGAATCATACCTCTAGACCAAGAAGCCGTCAACAGTGACTAGTAGATGCTGCAAACTAGTCGGTTTCTTAGTATACAACGCCGCCCTATCTTGTGCTAGCTAGTAAACCCCTTTTTTTAGGATCCAAGCGGATTTTGAAGTCACCGGATGATGGATGTGGTACTCGGCAGCTCAGGTTTAACTTTTGTTGGACTTGGATCTCAGGGAGACTCCGATCTCTTTGGTTAATCTTCCACATGTAAATGCTTGTAAGTGCGCTGTGCAACAGAGTGGCATTTAATCCCATGTGAAAGTACATTTCGTGCTGTCCTGAGATGACGTTTGCAAGGAAGATTTCCGGCCTTACAAGATTAAACAGAACAGCAATGATACCAGCATCATAAGATGATGTCAACCTGGTTAAGGGAAAAGCAAGAGAGTCGACAATGATACACAACAGAAATGATGACTAGTGACTAGAAGACCAACGTTGGATGAAGACCAGTGCACTACATCATTGCTAGTCGGGGTATTAAGTTTACCATTACGAAATATCAGGCTGCATTCTTAAGGGCCGCCTTTATTTTCTTGTCTTCCTTGCGTGCTTGACGAGATTTTCGATAACACCCTCGAATGCCTCGCGGTCGCCAATCTTCGCATCAGTGCGCTTCTTCCAGAACTCGTGAACCTCGTTCGCAAGTACTTCCATCTCCTTTAGTTTCTGGACGTGCTGCTGAAGCTCAACATCCGTCATTCCTGCCAATGCCTCGTCCGTGGTGGCACAAAGCTGGCTTGCCGCAACTAAATCGAAATCGGGCGCTTGAGGCGACACTTTCCGGCTTTTGGAGCCAGACCTAGGCTTCTCCTTGCCCTGGGAATCCACCGAGACAGATGAGCCGTTAGAGTCTGCCTTTCGGAGTCGGGAGACGGAACGCGAGTCGCTAGACGTGCGCAGTGAGCCATTCGACGTGACTCGTCGGAGAGAGGGCAAGACGAGTTTGTTCTGTTTGGATGCAGGCAGAATCTCGTCCAGGTCCACAGGCACACCAAGAGATACCAGAAACAGCCTCCTAATGCGGGAACGGATCCAGTCGGGTGGCTGAAGGGGTGGAGGGGCGGCAAGCTGGGACCACAACGATGCACTCCTCGGGCTGAAGAATATCGGGCTGTCATTCGGAGGTGAAAAGAGAGGCGGGATTTCAAGCACGTCGGGTGGGTATAATGCATTCAAGTAAGGTTCGCAGGCGGTTAGGATGTCTTCAGCGTCAAGCCCATCAAGATCCAATATTGGCTTAAAGAAGATGTAAGTCAGTATAAGTACGGCATGGCTACATAGAAAGGGCTCTAGGCATACAAAGGAGGGTGTTGAGGTCTGTAGCTGGCTTGCTAGCGGTTGAGTTGCTGAAGGAGCCTCAGCCTCTTGGAAGCCATCATCAAAATCGCCGAAATCAGCATCTTCGCCGCCTTCTTCGAACTCGTCAAAATCGTCACCAAACCCGTCTTCATCATCATCATCATCATGATCGCTCGTCTCTTGGTCCTCGACACCATTCACCGGCCTAGAGGCTGACGATCTTCTCCGTCCAACTGTCGATGGGGACTTTGGAGCTTGGTTTACATCCGCATCAACTACGAACGCACGGTCAATGGCAGTGTGGATTTCAAGAGGACTTGGTGGCCGTACCGGTGTCTTGGGGGGTTGCGTCTACCGGAAGAGGAACTGGATTCGCCTCACCAGTGCCATCAGGTTTCCGAACAAAGTCTGGTGTCGCGTCTGCTTGATGCAAGTGTTCATGATAGTGGTGCGTGGATGAGCCTGGGGCGTCGTCCGTCTCGTCAACTACAGTCTTGGGAATCGGTCTATCTCCGGGCGAAGGACTCCTGTTGGCGGACGGAGGAGGAGAATGCTCGTCTGGGATAATGGCAATTTCATCCGGGGTGGCATCTTCTGTCCTCTTGTTGTAGGCTTCCGTACCGGGTACCTCGCCGTAAGCGGGTTCGTCGTCGACTCTTTCAACTCGCGTTCTAGGAATAGGGGACACTGCGCGGGAATCCTTGTCGGGGGCAGACTGAGCATCGGAAAAGTGGTCGTCGGACTCTGACAATGCTGTGAAATCCGTGTGAGTGGGTGCGCTTGGAGAAACATGTGATATCATAGGATTGATTGCTTACCTAATTCATGTGCCCCAGGGTCTTCAGTACCTGTTCTCTTGGGTGCCTCAAGGCTTGGGGACGGTGACGGTCCACGCTCGCTGGACATTCTAGCAGAGGCCGTTCTACAGACACACGGGCGAGGGACTGGTTATGCGATGCAAATGACTGGAAAGTGACACGCCCGGCCGAAATGAGTAAAGGAACCAGAGACCTAGAAACACCAGGCTCACGGCTGAAACGGTGGAAAGGATAAAAGAGTTGGTAGGTCTGAGAGAGGACTGCTCGATCCCAAAGATAAGGTGTTGCAGAGGCAGATCGTCCAGAGCCTGATTACTTAAATATGGATCCTGCTGTTTTCGCTCCCTTTCTCAGTGGAAGTCAGGATCGGGGATGCGATTGAATGATTGGAGACACTACATAGGACGAAGCTACCATGGAAAAAGACAGAGGTAACCTTGCAGACAACAGTGTTCAAGGGTTTAATTGATCGCCAAGGCAGACGACCCAGATTAGGTACAGCTATAGTCTAGATTCTAGGCGGGACTCAGGACTGTCTCAGGGTAGAGACTGTAGGTAGAGTTTACTCGACGTGTGCTGGTTTGCCCAGGTGTTGATGCAGTAGCCTGTACAGCCTACTGCAGTGTGACACTACCTACTTGCCAAGGTCAAGCAGCATACAACCAGGTACTGTAGTCTAGTCGGCAAGACAGCTGTATTATACAGTGCAGCCGTAGAGCAGTACAAGCGGTACCTGTTTCCCATTCCGCGACAGCTGCAGCTTGTGCTCCGGCACCTGTCCGCCACTTGGCTCTACAGTTCAACTCGAGCTGGCTCCCGATTGCCAATGATCAAGGTTGCTGGAGCTTGTCGCGCAAAAAGTTGGGTTGCTTGCATGTTGGAGGTAGGCATTGGACAATAATACCTTCTGAACATTCTCTTTCCACAACACATCGGTGAGGTGCGAAAGTCTTCACCGAACAAAGACAGTTTCTCTTACTACTCTTCTTAGCCATACTCCTTCCACACGAGACGACTTCCATCGCACGCCACCTTCCTGTTAATATTTACGCAGCAAGGCGGTTGTTTATTCTCACCTCCCTTCCGCGACTGTCAACTAGCAGCGCGCGCTTGGGCATGAGATTGGGTGTCTGGTAGGTCCCCGGCTCATCGCATTCCACCCCTTGCTTCGTCCAGGTACACAACTCCTGGCGCCAAATCCAGTCACATTATCGCCGGAGCAATCGAAACCGCACAATGTCGTTTTCCTTCGGCGCCCCGAGCTCCTCAGCTCAACCATCCAATAATACAACTACGTCGGCTGCGCCAGCCACAGGCGGACTGTTTGGCTCAACGACGACACCTGCAGCCTCGAGCACGCCTTCCTTCAGTTTCGGCAACACAGGGGCCGGAAGCAACGGCACAACAGCTCCATCCCTAAGCGGCGGCGGTAGTCTGTTTGGCAACACAGCAGCCAAACCTGGTGAACAGAAGTCATTATTTGGAGGTACGAGCAGTGCCGCTCCCGCCCCGTCCACACCCTCGCTCGGCGGAGGAACTACCAACTCCCTGTTTGGTGGCACATCGCAAGCAGCCTCGACAACTAGCGTATTCGGGGATAATAAGCCGGCAGCAGCATCTTCGACGACCGCCACGCCTACCGCCAACCTCTTCGGTGCCCCAGCTTCCACCCCAAGTACCACCGCAGCAAGCACTACACCTGCTACTACAACTGGACTTTCCAATGGTGGGCTGTTTGGTCAGAATAACAAGCCCGCTGCCACGTCTGGTTCATTGTTTGGAGGAGGCAGTACCACTTCTGGAAACACTTCTGCCAATATCTTTGGCGGTATCACTCTTAACAACAACACGAAGAGTAGCACAGCTCCGGCATCGGAAACGCCAGCTAAACCTGTGTTTGCTCTGAATTCGACCACCCCGGCCGGTGCCCCCCCTTCAGACGCTGCTAAGCCATCTGGAGGCTTGAGTGTCTTTGGAGGAACCCAAGGCGCCCAGAAACCGGCAACCAGCCTCTTTGGCGGTCAAAGCGACGCTCAGGCCAAAACTGCAACAGCACAATCTGCCGAGTCAAAACCTAGTACCCCGTCATTATTCCCTGGTGCTGGCCAAACTGCGAAGCCGACTACTAGCCTATTTGGGGCGCCTAAGAGTGACTCCACAGCGACGTCTGGCTCTTTGTTTGGTGGTACTAAACCAGCAGCTACCATGGGCACAACCACCGCCAGCACCGCTGCTCCGGCGTCTCAACCAAGCGGTTCGTTGTTCCCTTCTACAAAGACAACCCAGGCACCTAGTACCTCCGAAGCTGCGACGACCAACGATAAACCGTCGGCTTCTGAGACTAAGACTGCCACAAGCGGTGCAGCTACTGAGACACCCAAGGCTCAGACAAATCTTTTCAATACTACAGCAAGTTCACAGGCGGCAAAGCCCACAAATCTCTTTGGTGTTGCAACGACGACCTCGGCGGCCGCCGCTCCAGCGACCACGGCTACGGCTCCTAGCACTAGCGCTACTACGGCAACTACCACGGCGCCCGCTGCCAGTACGACTGCCGCTGCGGCTTCGACTACGGCGCCTGCAGCCAAATCCCTGTTTGGCAGCGATGCCGCAAAGCCCGCGGCGGCAGGCACGGAGGCGGCCGCGGCCAAGTCGGCAGAAGCCCCGAGCACCAGCCTAGGAACCTCGACTAGTGGTCCGACTCCTTCTCTAGCGCGCCTGAAGAACCGGACCATGGATGAGATCTTGAACCGCTGGGCCACAGACCTGTCCAAGTATCAAAAGGAATTCAAGGAACAGGCCACCCAGGTAGCCGCCTGGGACCGTCTCTTGCTAGAGAACGGCGAGAAGATCCAGAAGCTGTACCTCAACACGTT